AGTGCCCAGTCAAAACTTCCGCTAAGTTTCATAGTTCGTTAGATTGAAAAATATCTAGCCTGACCTTCCACACGGGATGAATTCAAAGCCCATATGACCAGAAACAGATGAAGAATGAAAGTTGAAAGATAAGTGCCCACTTCCTATATTTGGAAGCTTATAAGCATTACAGGTTTGAATACCCGATTAGCTATCTGAGTAAACGCAGTGTGTTCATCGCTTCCTTGAATGTAGGTACTTTAGTCTGGACGGCTTAACTCTCCACCCTTGGGTAATTTTCTACCTTTCCGTAAAGCGTTGACTAATCAGTGAAAAACTTAAGTGGTTCTCTCCTCCAGTGGTTCTAACGCCTGCAGTCGTCGCGGGAAGGAATTAAGGTGCCCCCTCGGAGATACAAAAATTCAAGCAGCTGGTGTTAAATTTGAGCCCCTCAAGAATAGCGGAGTGTCAAATGTTTGAGACGACCAGTGGTTCAGGCTGACTGAGCCTTGCAGCCAATTTCTTTCTTTTAGACCAAAATGAAATCATGAACCTACCAGTTGCACTGAGAGAAGAAAAATAAACGGAGGAAGTGATCTTACTCCGCCAAGTCTACAGACTTTGGAGACTTTGGGAAGGAGCAAAGGGACGCATAATTGCGAAAACGATGTGCCAAGTTTATAATGCTGAACTTACAAAGTTTCCATTAGCGGTAATGAGGGCGCTTTCTAGACTGCCTGTAGGATTGCTATGACTGGCAACAAGCTCATATGAGCGTCAGCAAGCTCAGAAAGAGTATAAATGAAACAGTGGAGCACGTAATAAGGGAGTTCCCAGAACTCGGAAGGGAGCCAAAGACATACTCGCTGTAAAAAGGCTGCAGAACCCATAATCCGCTGAACTATGTCTCGTATGGCTCAACGTTTTAACAGCTGCGCTATTCGCCCTTCCCAACTGCTAGAGGACCATAAATCTTACGCAAAATCTTCCACTCTAAAACTCCTAACGCCGACTCAACAGATATTTAACGATCCACATAGCAGGACAGGCATGATGACTGACTTGTAGAGAGCTCGGAGGGTTCCTTCTCGATTCTGATGGAGTTTTTGGTGTTGCTTAACGTCAGTTTACATAGCCGTATAAGTTTTGCGGGGACACCGAATTCAGGTATAGAGGAGTAGAGGGAACTTCTTTTCGTGCTATCGAAGGCGGCTTTAAAATCGACGAAGAGGTGGTTTGAGTCTATCCTTTTTTCACTAGTCTTTTCCAAGATTTAATGCATGGTGATAATCTGGTCAAAGGTTGATTTACACTAGAGTCCCAATAAAGAGTGCAGCAGTATAGCTTGGTTGTAAATAGTGTCTGGCAGCACTATAGACTTAATATCTTCTAAGTGAGGCCTGCTTAACCTGAGCAAAACTTGCAGTAGTAGACCTCCCTGCAGTGACCACAGACACTATACTGCACATGACGTTAAGCGTCAGGGTTGGTGTAGTTCGTGGCGCGTCGTAGTTCGTGCTGATGAAGCCCCGCGTTGTACAGTTTCTAGATGCTAAGCGACTTTTCATTCATACCATTGCTTACCATTGGGAACTTTTTCCTTTCAATTAGAGAAGTAATCATCAGAAGACTTTAAAATTTACCTCAATTTTTTTATGTAGTGTAGTTGCATTTAGAAATTTAATGTTTATCAGACCAAAGTGGCAAAAAACTTAATTTATTCAAAAGAAGGGCCGCCGAAAGCGTGCCCAACCACATTGGGCTACTATGCCAAGAGATATTCGATATTAATTTTGTCAAATAAAAGAATGAAAATAATAAGAAATTGTGGGCTATGGCATTCAGTGTGAGACTCGACGCCGAGCTTTTGCCATTCATGCCTGGGCAGGAGCGAATCTACGCGAATAAATTTATGCCGCTCACGTACAAGCATTTTAAGTTGAGAAGAATTTCGCTTTCTAACGCCAAATAAAGACTTACACTACACACACTACACCTACATACATGCGTAAGTGGCGTTTGTCCGAGCGTCTCAGTAAATGTCCAATGCACGTAATGAAAACGAGGTGGGCTTTGGCCGGTCTTGTCGCAATGCTTAATTATTTTGCTGCTCATACCACACGTACATACATATTTCTGACATGTTGTGGTGGTGGAGTGAAGCATGTCAACGAGGTGGCTTGGGGAGTACTATTGTACATTTATTATTATACATACATACATACATACATGTTACATATCAACACTTGTTTGGTTCATTCGAATTGACTTGCAATTTTGCAGATCGTTTACTTCGGCGCCCCCAACTTTTCGTCCACTGCATATGTGGGCGTAAATACAACCACCCACTGGAAATGCACACAGACATACACGTACATATCCCCGTATGTATGTTATAAGCAGGATTTTAGCTTTCACATAGTCAATACGGCACGACAATCGCCGTCAATCCCGTCCAATCACTCCACTCGAACATCCGCTCATTCGGTCTCTGCTGATTGCAATGATTAAATTGATGATGTTTGATGACTTTTGAGGTGATTGCTGGGGATTAGTTCGACATGGGCCACAGCATGTGAGAAGAGAAGGTGACGCAGAGAAAAACAAAACTTAGCAAAGTCCCTTTGTGAGGTGCGGCAAAGACATGTGTGACCCGCACTTAGATGTATAACAACCACCTTCTTCGCAAGGAATGTGGGATGTGTGGCGCATATGTTGCATTTTCAAACCCAACTCATTACATGCAGTTTCTCGCCATGTAGCATGTAGTAACATCCATCAAAACGCCTTAAAGATGTACTTCGTATGCATGAGGGGTTGTGTGGAATGACCACATCCCCGAATTTGAAGAAGGAACTGCAAAGGTGAGGGTAAAAAATAAGAATTGTCTGGCGGTGAATCATGTGTGTGGCAAAGATGCAAAGATGCAAGGTGGCAGAATTGAGGATATACTTATAGAAATATATGTAATAAATGGTATAACGGTGCTTTTTGTAATAAATATGTATGTATGTTTGTGAGTGCGTTGCAAGCCATGAAAATTACTGCAAAACCATTTTCATTTTTATTCAACTAAATTATGATTTGTACAAAAGTATTCCAAGTTACGCATACATACACACACACACATACACATACATGTATACACAACATACACAACATAGTTAATAGCTACCGCATGATTCGGCAAAATATTAAATATATACATATGTACGTAAGTAATTCGAACATCTTAAGGTGCTGCAAGCTGCACGCTGTGTGGCAAATACCCATGAAACTCTGCGGCGCGACGTGCAACGAACGATTTACGCCTTAAATACATACATACATACGAGTATCTAGATACAAATGTACATTCGAGAGACTTAGAATGATGACTATGACTACGTATCAAGTACAAAACACATGCATTTTTAACACAAACCAATTGCATCTTGTGCCACCGACATTGTGTTTTTGTGTTTTGCAGCAGCATCACAGCGGCACTCCGTACGTTCAGTGTTGCCAATGTGATTAATTGTAACACATTAATATCGTTACTCTATTCGTCTTTGCCCACTTCTAGCCGCCGCTGCATGAGTAGTGGCATTTTTGGGAAGAAGAAGAAGAAGGAGAAACACACAGCTTGAGCCATTGCATTGTCGCCTCAGTAGCTCAAATGAGTGTAATTTAGTTGCATAATAGAGCGCTTCGGTGACTTGAGTTTTTCGCCCTAAAAATTCGATTTTTTCGATTAAAAAAATCCAAATAAATTAGTGAAGATTTAAAACGGAAATGAGGTTGTAGTCGAAATTGAAGAAAATACCCATTTTAGAAATTTAATTTGCAGTTTACCAAAAAAAAAAAAAAAAAAAAAAAACAATAATGTTTTTTCATGAAATTTATTTTTTACAATAAAGTTTGAGCCTCGGCACTTCAAACCGTTTTTGGTGACTTTCGACCACTTTTTTGGCATTTATTGAGCGTTATCTCAGCCATTACTTGACGAATTTCGATTCTCAGGTGCTCAATGGTCTCCTCCTCTTCTTCGTCCCTACAGCCGCAGCAGAAATCGTTAGAGTAAAAGCCCATCCTAATCCCGTAAAGCCCCATTAAACAGTGTCCAGTTATTATACCCGTCTCTATGCTAATAGAGAGCTGGTCCAGCAGAATAAAATGTTTAGTTTGTTTCGCGTCCAATTTCGGCCACAGCTGTCTGGTCACGTTACACGTGATCTCGTTCACCCATCGTGAGTCAACTTTCCTAGTGAAGCCCAGTTCAAGTATGTACTTAGCCCTGCACAGAGGGAAACATGCATCATATGCGTGTTTTATCGTAGTTAGAAGGGTTCCTTCCCTTGCGAGTTCGCCTGGCATGCGATTGCCTGGGATGTCCCTGTGTCCAGATACACAGACCACGGCAGTACTGTACTTTGTTGAAAAATGATGTAAATATGAAACCTCCTCAAAACGTTTCACAATGCTGTTTATGGTGTGCGGTGCGGCTTCTGCCCTTCATTTTACAAATTTTCGGAATGTTTCCCCATTTTTCATAGAAATTCAAAACGAGCTCCATGAGTGTGTGCAAACACTTAACAAAGCACACTTTATAAATTTTTTTTCTTATGAAAGCCTAAAAGCTCACCACTTTTTAAACTTTTTCCAAAAAATTAAGCTTTTTAAAAACTTTTGTCTTATTCACCACACCACGATCCCAACGACGGATCTTTACCAAGAATGACCAAAATAGAAAACAAGAATAAATTATATAAATATTTGATTTACAGTTGCTTCGAATTATGCGTGAATAAAGGTGAAAGTCATATTTATTTAGTATTATTATTTACGTATGGTATGGTATGTATGTAAATAAAACAAGCTGAAACAATAATTTTCAGACGGCAAGTACTTTTTTTGGAGTCTAACTCAGTCAGTTGATTGTAAGTACTTCCAAGATAATGCGGCGACTTCTCTCATCGTCAGCTCTTAACGCGAAACTTCGTAAAAAACGTTCTCTTCTTGAAATTTTCATCATTTTCATCATGCTTATAATCGTTCATCAGTTATATTGTCGTCTTAGAGGTGAAAATGGCTCGCAGCTGAGGCGCGATCAACTGATTGATTGGCATGACTACAAAGCAATGGCACACGATGCACTGCGTGTGGGTTTGGGCGAGCAAGGACGAGCTGCGAACCTGGATAATGTCAATAGAAAGGCGTTCAAGACAGCTTGGCTGAAGTATGGCTTTAACGGTTTACTCTCCGATCAAATTTCCGTTGAGCGTGCAGTGCCGGATTTTCGCCACAAGAAGTGAGTATGATTTTGAAGCGAAAAACGCGTACCAAAACTGTCCATTTTCTTCCAAAAGTTGTCGCAACCTGACCTACCACAATGAACTACCGAGCACGAGCATAATTATTGTGCATCGCCATGAATATCCCTCGGTGTTACAGCGCACACTGCACAGTCTCTGGAATCGCACACCAAGCGAGTTATTGAAAGAGATTATTTTAGTGGACGACTGCAGCTATGCACCACCTTTTGACATTACGCACGAACAGGATTTAATGGCGAAGTTTGGCACGAAGCTTAAAATACTTCGTCTAACAACACACGAAGGCTTAATACGTGCACGCATAGCGGGCGCACGTGTAGCTACTGGTGAGGTGTTGGTCTTTCTAGATGCGCATGTGGAGGCCACACACAATTGGCTGCCGCCTCTGCTACAACCAATTGTCGATGATCCACACACGAGCACCACGCCGATTATAGACGTCATTGACTACAACACCTTCGAGTATATGGAAGGCTTACCGACGCGTGGTGGATTTGATTGGAATTTCGTTTATACGGAGCTGCTGTTGCGGGAGGATGATCACAAATCAATGCCAGCGCCACACCAGAATCCTGTAATGAACGGCGGTCTCTTTGCTATAACAGCGAAGTACTTTTGGCATTTGGGCGCATACGATGAGGGCTTGGAAGTGTGGGGCGGCGAGCAGTTTGAGCTCAGCTTTAAAATTTGGATGTGCGGTGGCCGTTTGTTGGAAGTGCCTTGTTCGCGTTTAGGCCATCTTTATCGTGTGGCCAATTCTCAGGTGAAATACACCAATCGCACAGAGGATTTTCAATCGAAGGTGTGTAGAGACTGTGGTTAAGATCATTTCAATGCAAATAATTTTATTCTTTCCCTACTTAACAGAACTACAAGCGCGTCGCTTCAGTTTGGATGGATGATTACCAGGAAATACTCTACAAACACAACCCGGAGCTCATCAAAATTGACGCTGGTGATGTGAGTGAAAGACATGCTTTAAGAAAACGGCTCAATTGCAAATCATTTAAGTGGTTCCTCGATACCATCGCGCCGGATTTGCTACTAAGGTATCCAACAGTTGTGCCGCCGGATTATGCCTTTGGTGCAATACAAGCACTTGCTGCGCCACAGCTTTGTTTGGCAACATTGGAAAAAAACTCAAAACGATCGAAAATCAAACTACGACCCTGTTCAGGTGATCTTAAGCAACCGGCTGCCTCACAAGATTGGCATCTCACTTTTCATCGTGACCTCCGACAGGGAGATGAAAACTGCTTAGATGTGCAGGATACAACCCTTCGTCTGGGGCCTTGTCAGAACCAAGGAGGCAATCAATTTTGGTACTACGACCCAGCGTCAAAGCTACTGATGCAAGGTGAACCATGGACAGAGCGGCTGTGTCTGGAAGCGAATATGTTGACGGCGCGTGCCCACATGAATACCTGTGATTCGGAGAATGAAAATATGAAATGGAAGTTTGGATTTGCAAACAGGACATTGTTGGGCCAATTCTTCAATGGTTTAGAAAAATACTTTTCGTATTGACTGAATATCACTTTCTAGACGAAAAAACTAAGATCAAGTAGTCATTGGGGACTACAGATTTTTGGTAATGGGGCTGAGGTTTAAATAGTTTTATATTTTCTATGAAAAATACTTTGTTTATTACTTTTATTGATTTTAATCTTTAATTAAACTGGGAATGCTGCTGATTGGCAAAAATAATTATAAATGATGAGAGCGTTGAGAGTTCTGAGAACGCTTCTGTTCTTTGAATGTCTTCTTCGTAGTGCTTATTTCAAATCTTCACGAAATGCGTCTCAAATAAATCATTAAGTTTTTCATGTTACCCATAAGAGACGGCAGGTAACGAAGATATTGAATGGACGGATGGATAGTGCTAAAGGACAGGTATACCTTTGGTAAAAGTTCCCTTCGAGAATAATTCCTTGCTGAATACAGAGTTAGGGGTAAAGGGTAACGAAAAGTCCGATGCAAGTAAGCTTCAACTGGAGCAAAATTTTAAATTTTCTAAAAGCGAAATGCTATCTTATGACTTTTCTTTTCTTGATGACGAATTCAGCGTTACCAACCTCCCGCCCAACCGACTGAGAGGCGAGACTGCAGTTGAATTGAAAAATCCAACAGACTGGTGACCGAAAACCTGGACTGCCTTGAACCAGAGATCGTTCGCGGAAGGTCGCTTGCCTCTAAAAATTGTCAATTAAAATTTGCTGCAAAACTTCGACGCTCCTTTACGGTGCGATTGTTTAATTTCATAGCTAAGATACAAAGATGTGCATTAATGTGTAACAGTGTTGCACCAAGGATCACGCAAAGTGAGGCTCTAAATGTAATACTCAATATCTTCCCACTGGACTTGGTGGCATTTTAGTCGGCAGCAAAGACTGCACTTCGTCTAAGAGAGTTAAATCGATGGACCACTCAGCCAAGAGCGCACTCGGTATTATGGGATAAATACGAATTCATACCAAGTTCTACAGATCAATGCGTTCCAATTGTATTAACCCATAACTACTTCAGAACATAAATGCTCAGCAATGAATAGTAGGTAGATGATTACCATAAACCAGGAGACAGCCCGAAAATATACACGGAGGGATCAAAACTTGAGGGCAGAGTTGGCGAAGTTGGAGGAGGTGTCTTCTCTAGGAACCTTCCAATGGAGCTCTCTTTCAGGGACCTAACCATTGCAGAGTTTTCCAGGCGGATAATAGAGGCTGCAAAGCAAATGGGAGCCAGCTTTATAGACAATCGGGTGAAAATAAAATCACTGGGCTCGCTTACACTAAAATCCAAATTAGTGTTGAACTGTCGCTGATCTCTACGGAAGCTGTCAAAAAAAAAAAAAATTTTCTCTCACGTGAAACCCTTCACAGGGGCATTGAGGGGAAACTATTAGGCAGATGAACTTGCTAGGAAAGGTATGACCAAGCAGATTCTTCCCGATAAAAAACACATTGGTATACCTATTGTCACTTACAAACTGTTTCGCAAATAATTGACGTATGTACAAGCTGCATGAAGGTTTAACCTGCCGCAAATCCTGGCACATCTGGCTGAAATGGGATAAAAAGAGATCACGAGATAAATACTCCTGAAAAAGGGGACATGCCCAAAGAAATAGGAGTCTGATAGGACGACAGGCGGAAAATCTGGAAGCTCCCTATAGAAGACGCTGCAGAAGCTGCAATCAAGATGCAGAGGAGGAAACGAACACCAATTTCGTATGCGACTGCCCTTCTTTGAACAGAGTTAGGTTTCGGAATTTGCTGGATGATCTATCGAATATAGCCGACGTCGAAATTATGAATCTAATAATCAAAATACCTGGATAATGAAGCCTGATGGTCAAGCTTTTGTGGCATGACATTGATTTTATTGAGGTCTAAAAACATCTGACACGTTAGAGCGGAAACCACCACAACATTGACTAACATCTAGCGAAAAAGGCAAATAGAATTGTATAGGAAGTCTCTAATAGGGGCTAATAATTGGTATAGAAGAATACCCTTAAAATAACCCACTTTCCGTTATTTCTAAGATAGCTTCAAGGAAAGGAAAGTTGAGGGAGCTTTTCTTATAAAAATAATAACTACAAAACTGCCAAGAGTTACCAATAAACAATAGTAATGGATGGATGTACTTAAGTACTTATAAATAAAGAAAAAATGCTAAAAAAGAGAGTCAAGCTCTTCTTCTCTGTTACAATTTTCGATAATTGGTGCCATTTAAATGGCACTGCCTGTAGGCTAAGCGCATGTATGTGTGTATGTTCGTATATTCGTTAGATATTTCATTTTTTAGTTACTCAAAAGCTCTAAGCCATCAGAATCAAAGAAAATAATAGTAATCTTGCAATGTAACCCGTTCTGAAGTACATACATACTCCTCTAAGAGTATGAAAACTCATACTCGTATTTATTCACATTTATTGCATTTACATACATACATACGTTATCAGCGGCTGTTGAATGTGTGTACAATACGAGAATGAGATGATAGATTGGCGGTCATCTATGTACACTGCAGATAAAAAGAATTGTAAAATATTTAATAATGTGCACTCTTCAAGCAGAAAAATACAAGTGACGTGACGTGAATATGAATAATTTTAGATTAAAGAAACACTCTATAAAATATACAAAAAAATAAAAAATTAAATTGTTGTAAAATAATTATTTTAAATTAAATTGGAAGTCTTTTTCATATCTATGAAGTTTGTTATTAACTTTGGTCCGAAGTGTGTAGGTAGCAGAAGGAGAAGAAATGGACCCGTCTAAATGTATACTCATCCAGTTAGAGTAGGGAGTTAAGTTGGTTTTTTTGCGTTCGTCTAACCATCTGTTTGTAATCATACTAGTCCCTCGCTTTTTGAGATAATTCAACCAAAGCTAGTAAGCAAATGTATAATATTGTTTTAATCATTATTCGAAACAGTTCAAATCACACTACTTTAACATACATTAAGACCAGAAAGTTTTCGGAAATTGTCATTTAAACTGCCCGCGCTGAATATTTTGCAGCATATTTTTTGTTAAGTTGGCAGCACTGTCCTTAATTAATAAGCCGAAAATGAGCGCGATCTGTTTACCAGTTTGTTTGCAGCAGCCGTTGAAATCTGTCGTCTTCAGGTCCCTGTGCGAATTTTCTTTTGCGGTCTCAATCGAGTCGAAACGGGTTTCCGATGAATACCGTGGTTAATCGCTGGTATTGAACGAGTTCTTGTTCTTCAAATCGTTAACGACTACAGATCGCGCGATGGCGCATTATCGTCATGAATGTTTCAGGAAATTGTTGGTTCGCAATTCCGGCTGTTTACGACAAATGTTTTCGCGCAAACGCTTCAAAACGCTGAAATAATAATCTTTATTGACGGTGTGTCCGGTTGGAATATCGAAAGAAAGAATGTATAGCATATGTGCGACCGATTTTTCAGACCTGAAATTATGGTTTATAAAACGTGAAATTTGGTATTCTGTACACATATGATGAGTTATGTATTGGTGCCGAAAATTACCCCAGTCATGGATATTTCTAAGGTTTGGTAAAAAGTTAGTCAAAAAAGTATGAGATTTCGTACTCTACATTCTTATATACTAGAGCTCAAGTATATGTTCGAATATTTTCGAGTTACTCGAGAAATCATTGTACTGTCGTTCGGAAGGCTCGGGTTCAAATCCTGGTGTCAGGGAATATCAACCCCACCGAGTGTATTTATGACATGAATAAAAGCTTCTCATAAAAAAAACCATCAGTTGTTCGAAGGTGGCTTAGTATAAACTGTAGGACCATCCACAAATTGAAGGAGGAGCTCGGCCGAAAATATAATAATATGTATATATGTATATAGTGTAAAATTCATTAAAATTCATGAAAATTGAAAAATTTCAAACTACCTATCGAGCAGTTGAGCAACGTACGAGTATCGAGTTGCTCGATGCCCTCGTATCTAGAGATCTAGAGAAAACAGCTCTTCTTTCTTGTTTTTTTTCTTTTTAAATTTCACTCGTCTGACTGACGAATTGTGAGAGAATTATGTGGAAATGTCATAACTAAGCAAACTGTTGTGCCACAGCTACTTAGCCTATGATATATTGGTCCAATCTGTATATGAGCACAAAATTATCCGCTTTATTTTTGCATTTCACAGATAAATGTGGGCTTTTTAATATGAAATTGAAAATGGAAAGTGAAAATGCCTTTTGGAAATAAGAATTTTACTAACTTTTGATTTCAGACACATTCTTTCTTTGACTGTAGTTGGCCTCTAACGGCGACGATTGCCGCTTTGAAATGCAAATATGATTGAGAGACGGTTACAGCGCTTGCACTTCTATTATATAGGGTTATACACTTCGTGGTTTCAAAAGTACAAAGGTGTATTCTGACATTTGTTTTAGTTAAAAGTCAGGCATTCATGAAAATGGTTCGCTCAAGAACCACACAACGCTCTAAAATTGCTAAAACCTGCAATAAAAATGGTGCTTCAAACGGGGTCACATTTGATGCTTGAAGAGGGGATTATGATGCATATAATTGTTGAAATTCTCAAGCAATTGGTAAAATTTTAAAGACACTTCAAGAGACTCTAGCGGTTGCATATATTGTAAGGCCTGTGCAGCATCGTTTAGCTCGTTCCACCTCAAATATTGCTGCTGTAAGCGAAAGTGTAGCCGAATACCCGAATGTGTCTATTTCTCGAAGCCCTCAAGAGCTGGAACTCTCTCACGGCTCATTACGGTGTATTTTCCACTTGAACTTACATCTATGTACATCCATTAAACCACGACAACTGAACAATTGAACTAACACGACACATGTCGAACAACAGCAATGGACGACGTATGCCCACAGCAATTTTTCGTACAAAATTTTCTTCTACGACGTGGTACATTTCTTACTCGGGGAATAAGTGAATAATCAAAGCGGTGGCATTTGGAATCCCAGGCATCGTCAAATAATTGAAGAGACGTCGTTAGAGCTAAAAAAAATTTACTGTCTGGTGCATTCTTTGATCCGGAGGAGGTACTGCACCTTATATAAATATAATTGGCGCTTTGTAAAAGCTGAAGCGATTTTCGGACAAGACAATTTGCTGTTTTACGTCTAGATGTTTTCCCAACAAATAGAGGCTGATGGTTTTTTATGAGGAGCCTTTATTTCATGTCAGAAATACACTCGGAGGGGGGAACGCAGTTAGAAAATTTAACTTAACTTTTGACTGGACCTTATTTCTTTGGAAACCTGGCCATGCAATTGAATAGCACGGCTTGGAATATATGTGGTTTCAACAAGATAGTACCACATGCCACTCAATACGAGTGAATATTGCTTTATTACGACAAAAAATTCTCGCGATTTAACGCTTTGGCGATGTCAATTGGCTACCAAGATTGTACGATTTAACACCGTTGGCCTTGTTTTTCTTGGGTCAGGCAAAAGATCGTATTTATGCGGATAAGCCCTTGAGACTGAGCACTTGAAAAGCAATATTCAACAATTTATGGCAGATCAACATTTTCAATCCTTTAAAGAATTGGAAAAATGGATTGCTTCATGGATTGCGTCAAAAGCGGACACCTTTTTTCGAGCCGGGATCCGAAAATTGCCGGAAAGATGGAAGAAAGTTGTCGCTAGCGAAGGACAATACTTTGAATAACATATCTGTAAGCACTTTTGGCAAACAAGCTTTTAATTTTGAAAAAAAAAAAAAAACGGCGGAAGCAAAGTTCTACACCTGATACTTTTTTTGGAAACCACCTAATGGATAAGCCTGTAAGTATGTATGTATGTATGACCAAATGAAAATGAAAACTAAAGTTCGTTGTACAGAAGTTCTCGAAAGCTTTCAAAAGACTACGTCTGGAACTGTGCAAATTATTGCGATTCTATTCTTCAGTCAACTTTTCGCTGTTAAAAAAGAATGAACTGTAATTAAAGTTTATAAGAAAATTCATTAATTGATTTACACAGTTTCAATTATACTTTCAATTATTAATCAAAAGTGAGTGAATTTGTAGCAAGTTCGAAGAGGAAAATTCGTTATTGAAGAGTGTGTGTGAAAAGGCGATTGTTCTTGTGTTTTAATGTAGTAAAATTTATTAACAAATAAACATTGGTTTTTTATTATTATTAAAAATTTATGTGAACTTAAGTGTAAACTTAAATCCACACTTACATAAACAAGCTATGGCTACTAAGTCCTTCAGCGAAATCAAATTTGTTATCTCATAACCTAATTAGTGTAATAAATTTACATATATTTAAGCTAGGAAAATATTTGTTACATACAAGGTCTAGTCAAAAAATCCATTATTTTGCAATAACTTGATGAACAAGTGTACAACTTTGTTGCTTTGGGGGATTTAATGGACCCTAAGCTCAACTTCCATCTTCATATCAAAAGATGATAAAGCCCTTCATACGACTTCGGTGGGGTTAATATTAGAATGTGATTCACTGATATGGAACCCCAATTATATAGGTCATTCCGATAAGTTGGAGTCCGTTTAAACATAGTTTTTACTATTTGTATTAAGACATTTCCGATGGAATTCTACGATAAGCCTTCTTCCTTATGCCAAATCTTCTAAATCCACCTACTCTCGCAAGTCGTATAGAAATGTTGGGCGCATTGTTCGTAGTAAAACCTCTTCACGGATCAATTTGGTATTACGGCTCTCATCTGAGGTAAACTTTAATGTTCCAACTCGTGTATCTAGGCAGTTTATTCGCCATTGCCAATGCGCAGAGGACCATAAATCTTACGCAAAACTGTTCCCTCGAAGGCTCACAGGGCCGTCTCATTGTATGTTGCCATTGTTAATGCCACCATATAACAGGACGGGAACGATGAGGGACTTGTAAAGTTCGGTCTTCAGTCGTTGGGAGAGGAGTTTACTTTTCAATTGCCTACTCAGTTCAAAGTAGCATCTCTTGGCGAGAGTGATTCTGCATTGTATTTCAAGGCTAGCATTATTGTTGGTGTTGATGCTCCTTCCTAGTTGGACGAAATTATCTACGTTTTCAAAGTTATGACTGTCAACAGTGACGTGGGAGCCAAGTCGCGAATGCGATGACTGTTTGTTTGATGTCAGGAGATATTTCGCCTTGCCCTCATTCACTACCAGACCCATTCACTTCGCTTCTTTAACAAGCCTGGAGAAAGCAGAACTAATCGCGCGGTTGTTGAGGCCAATAATGTCAGTATCATTCATTGGGATCATTATTATTATCTACTATAGTTAGTATTGTCGCTCTCATGGAAACCCTTTGGGTGACAATCGTTTTCCACAGGCTTCTCTTGAGACCAACTCTTGAACAAATCATTCACCATAGACAGAAACACATGACAAACTCTCGTCGGAGAGTCCGTACAATAATGGAGGCATAAGAATTTTCCTAAAAACTGTTGTAGCTCAGAGTGTAGTCCTGATGAAACATAAGTCCGGTCCCATTGGACAAAGCTGCGCGCTTGTGGGCGATTGCTAGTGTAAGCTCGAATATCTTAAAGAAACTAACAAAATATGAAAGAATTGGCTAATTTTGCTCACATTTCATTTGGTATTTACACCCCGGGTTGGTCTAAAAGTCCCAGATTTCATTGATAACATTATTGGAGATTTTATTAACTCAAATACCCTTCAGATTCTATGCATATATAAGGTTGTCAAATATCTCCCTTCCGCTTTTTTGCTCTTCATTCAATGCTTTATAAAAAGTGTTACAGTGATCGGATTTAGTTAAAATATGCGCCGTTTTGTTCGATGATCTGTTTCCATAATACCTTCCTCGTTGAAGCCCCCCTCCTTATTTGCGAAGAATTCGGACAGCCACTTTTCACAAGCCTCTTTTGAGTTCAACTTCACACCACCAAGGACATTCGCCATGGATAGGAACAGGTTGTAATCACTTCGCTTCGTCCGGGCTATATGGTGGATGCGATAAAACCTTCTATCCGAGCTCCTGTAGCTTCTGACGAGTCATCAACGAAGTGTGTGGTCTAGCGTTGTCCTGGTGGAACACTACACCCTTCCAGTTGTTAAGCGTCTGGCCATATGGGAGCAGCTCATAGGGGATGATTCCCTTCCAACCCCACCAAACACATAGCAAAACCTTCCTGGCCGTCAATCCCGGCTTGGCCACTGTTTGGGACGATTCACCGGCCTTCGACCACGACCTTTTTGCTTGATATTGTCGTATGTGATCCATTTCTCGTCGCCAGTCACCATTCGCTTCAAGAATGGGTCGAGTTCGTTCCGTTTCAGCAGCATATCGCAGGCGTTGATTCGGTCCAGAAGGTTTTTTTGCGTCAAATTATGCGGCACTCAAACATCAAACTTTTTTTTGTATCCAGCCTTCTGCAGATGGTTCAAAATGGTTTGGTGACTAACTCCCATCTCCTGGGCGATGTCACGAGATGTCATATGCCGGTCTAACTCGATGTATTCCATGATTTAATCAGTATTTGTCGTCACAGATCTTCCACCGGCTGGCTTATCCATGGTGTTGTTTTCACCGGCGAAACCATTCCTCCGCGGTTCGAAGTGATAGAGTAACATCCCCCAAAACACCATTAATCTCACAGAACGTTTCTCTAGCGGATTTGCCTTTAACGAAGGAAAACTTTGAAATAGCGCGAATTTCGGCGTTAGTGAACTCCATGTTTACACGTCTATAACTGCATGCATGCATAGCGCAGTTTTGTAGGTTATGTCAAGACCTTTCAAATTATGTATAGTGTTGCCAGATACGAGCTCTGTAGCGCTTTGTACATAGCCGCGAAATTCAAAAGACAAAAAAGCGGAAGGGAGATATTTGAAAACCTAATATTTTGCGGTGCACTAAGATACTTATTGGTCTCCGATCTTTAGCTATTAGACCCTTTAAATAACAATATAGAGCGGTTCATAATTTTTATTTTTTGAAATTACCACTCTGTTTCAGTTCCAGATTATCCCCTGCTGTTGATTAGAGTAGGGATTGATATTTTTTGTGCTCCCATCTTGTGAGAGATTGCTCTCACCACCTTTTACTGTGGGCCTAACTCATAGTTACTGGTAAAAAAATATAATTTACATCTTTGCTGGACTCAAATTATGCGCCCGAATTTTTTTAAGAATGTCTGCTACAGCCCCTCGTATATTATTGGAAGCTTACTTTGGAATTATTTTCCAATTTTACAGACTCAATATGCCTTTATGTCCATCTAATCTGTTGAAAGATGAAAATCGGAAGGTAGAAGTTCGTTTTGCTTCCTAAGGACCTTTAGTTTAGTCTAGTCACCATTTTTGTCTTTCTTTGATTGAGTCCTCAAAATCTTTTTGAACCCTGGTTAGGCGCATCTGCAATTTTCTTCAAGAACAAATTTTTTTAAATTTTTTCAGTTTGGCACACTTTTTAATTTACGAGTACTCCACATGAAATGTTTCTTTTTTAGATTATGCTTTACACAAAACCACTTCCAAGCGCTACCGATGAGTTGTTTGAACGCAGCAAGCGGATGGTAATTCATGTTTCTACAAATGGAAAATTCATACCGTTAAAATGGAATTGGCCTGAAACTTGGATCTCAGTGCCGGCTGTATTCAAGGACAATTTTTCAAGTATTTACGATTTTGAAGTGAGGAATGATGACGTCTTTATTGTAACATTTCCGAAATCGGGTACAACATGGTTGCAGGAGGCCTCTTGGTTGTTATTAAATAAACTGGACTATGAGGAAGCAAAGAGGCGGCATCTGTTGGAACGTAGCGTTTTTATGGAGTAAGAGTTGACTATACAGTTTTGCATTTAAAAATAATAACAAATTATATTATCTGTATGTAAATGTGTACAGCATAAGTACGCTGTATGGTGAGAAAACTAATAAAGGAGATAGCGTAGCCAAAGCAGCGGAGCTGAAGTCGCCACGTTGCATAAAATCTCATTTGCCTGCGCATTTGTTGCCACGTCAAATTTGGCAAAAGAAAGTGAAGGTGGGTAACGAAGTGTTTATAATTCCAACTAAATATATGCTTGTAAGTATGACTAATTAGTTTCTCACACGTTTTTCAACAGCTAATTTATTGCGCGCGCAATCCCAAGGATGTTGTGCTCTCCTACGGTCACTTCCTGCGCGGCAAAGGCGCCTACAACGGTAGCATGGAGGAATTCATCGATGATTTCTTAAATGCTGAAACACTTTACTCACCCTACTGGATTCATGTCTACACTATGTGGCAAATGCGCGCTGAGCCCAATATATTCTTCACCACCTATGAGGAGATGAAACAAAATTTGAGGGGTGTCGTTGAGCGGTTGAATGAGTTTCTCGAGCAACCGCCGTTGAGTGAAGCGCAGATGGAGAAACTATTGAACCACTTATCGTTTGAAAGTATGAAAGGTAAATAATCGCTTTTGGAACTAATATTTATTTTTGTTTAAAACCAGAATTATATCATTACTTGCTGTGCAATTTTACAGCGAATCAACAGGTGAACCCCACGGAAGTGATCAAAAAATCTGGTCGGCCAGGAGCTGATTTCCAGTAAGATTAAAAAAATTAAGAGGAGGAAATGTGTACATATATAATTTTGCGATTGATTAACATTCGTTTTATTGATTTCAGATTTATGCGTCGCGGCATTGTTGGCAGCTACAAAGATGAGTTGTCGGTGAGAAATAAGCAGCGCATAAATGAGTGGTCCGAGCAATACTTAAATAAATTCAATATTAAGATGAGTGATATTTTTAGCGATTTTTAATCGTAACGTGTGATTTTTCAACCAATTTAATAAAAAAAAACTCTGCCAGTGGTAGGAATTTAATTGAGCATTTTGAGCGGATTTTAAAGGCAATAGCAATGGTATAGACGAGCAGGCTTCACGTACAATGGTGCAGCGGCCAGCCAGAACCAATAAATGTCTGCAAGTGTCCAGACTTTAATAACCACGACAAATGTTATGAGTATTTTGAAATTGAATAAAGCTTCACTTAATGCATCTTTTGAGATGAGCTTCTTCCATCCTATATCTATATTAATAGCCTATTTCAACCGGAATAATTTTAGCTTAAATTCATTCATTCATGAACATCGAATTTAAATGTGTGAGTTCCCATGTGTTTGCAGTGGTATAAATGTGTGTTAAGGGGCACACTTAGTTTAATTGCCTAAAAAAAGGTGATTTTTGGGAATTTTTATTTAAAAAAAATACTTTATCAATTATTTCAAAATTTTAAGAATATATTTATACATATTTCAAAAAAGTACAGTGAAATTTTTGAAGAAAAAAATTAATTATTTTTTAAGTTATAGTCGATAGGTCCTTTACTACTGCAGTGATTCCTGCCTTCACCGTGGATGAAATCTATAAAAAAAATTCCCGATAAGATAATTTTGTCTGTACAATGACCAACGATAAAAGAAAAATCAAAAATTGACAATATGGCAGCCTTGTAAAAAAAAATAGTCGATTTTTACCCAAAATTTTGGACGTTTTTGGCCTTCCAAAATTCTATTTTTTATCAGATCAAAAATCGATGGGTCATTGTGCGAAGAACTATATATAGAACATGTAAAAAAGTTCGATAGTGATCGGATCATTTGTTTTTGAGTAATCACTGCAGCAAATTCGGGAAATGCTGTTTCGAGAAAAATGCGTTTAAAGATAAAACGATCGTTTTCACTCGTGGCTAATGAGACTCTCTAGCTGGTGAGCGGCTGCTCTTTAAATTGCTATAACTCAAAAACTATTTGAGATATCGATTTGTAATTTTAATATGTTGTTTTTAAAGGTTTAATCTACCGAAAAATGAAAGAAAAATATTGATTTTTTTTAAATTTCACCCTTAACTCACTTTCGGTAATTTAGCAGAAAATGTTATGTTAACAGTCGTTGCAGTCCCTACTAATGTAATCATTTCGGACGTTTCGGTAAATTTCTTGTCAGAGTCGTGTATTTTCGGATTTAATGAAGGGTGTGACTTTTATTTTGCATAGTAAAATTGTGTCTGAAAAAATTAATTCTTCCCCGTCAATATAAATATATGCGTTAAATAAATAATTTGAGAGAACAAACAAGCAAATTTGTAAATGGAAGCATGCTTACAAGTATTTTCGTTTCAGCAGCGTTTGTCCGTGCATAAATTTATCTGCCATTGCAAATCATAGGAATGCATAAATAGCCAAATAAAATGAGTGTGGTCTCTTGAATTCATGATTTTATTAGTTGTGACAAATTTTTCAACATGCAAATGTAGACAAAAATCAGTTGTTTGAGTTAACTCACTTTCGGTGGAATCGTTTGATATTTCATTCAATTAACAGAGTCTTTAAATGCATTTAAGTGCTTTAATGTTAAGTTAACAGAAATACCATTTGTGGACAGCTGTTATTTTTTTATAAATAACAATAAATGCGGCCGCTAAACCCCTAGAAAGTGCAATACTGAAAATTGGGAAAAATTTAATTGATTTTCCACAAAAGAAAAAAACAAAAACAAAAACAAATAGCAATAGAAAGAGCTCATATGAATGTTGCCAACAGTATGGCAGACCTTTAGCAGGGATCCTGCTAAATTGGACTAAATAAGTTAAAAAAAGCAAAGTAGATATTTAATACAATATATTATATTAAAAAAATGAAATTAATTCATGTTAGAGTTTATAATAAGTATTTTCCCCAAGCCCAAAATTATTTATAGAATAATAAATTAATGTTAAATACTTCATTCAATTTTTTATACTTGTACATCAATTAGCATAACTTTCTAGCTAGCCTTTCCATCCTTTTGACCTTTCCCAACTTTGAGGCGATTTTCCGCCGAGGTTCTTCTCGAATTTGTGGTTTTGCGTCTTGATGTTTTTCCAACAAATGGAGGGACCTGTAGTTTATACCAAGCCTCTCCCGAAAGGCTGATAGATTTTCTAACCCCTGCCGAGGAGCAACTTTTGGATGTTGCTTGCAGGGGGAACTGAAACCCGAGCCTTCCGAATGGCAGTACGCCATGCTAACCACTCGGCCGCCAAGTAGATTGGAGAATTAAATATTAAATGAGAATGCCCATGAGCTTTGCGCAAAGCAATTCTTTACTATGCCATAGATCTATGGAAGGTAATGGGTCATCTTATTTTTTATGTATTTTCGTTTGACAGATTTTACAGGAACAAATTTCGATGTTAGTCCTATTAATGTAATAGATCAAGGCTGCATTGAAACTATAAATCTTACGTTAATCAAAAAATTCAATCGATTCGCTTAAAAAAATTGTAAATTTTATCGTTAAAACAGTTATCAAAATAAAATTTATTTCTTTTTTACACGAAACGAAATGCCGCTGTTAATGTTAAATCGTTAACAGATAATGTTAAATGTTAAAATTTAAGTCCGCTGTACAAGTTTGTGCGGTTTCAACGTTTACAACTTCATTTCATTTCGATAGAATTGACTCGATAAGCTTATTTTTCATATTACCAAAACGAAATGGCATCGTTTCGTAAGTTGAACTGTATTAGATAAAGGCTTTTCCGGTAAGAGGTGAATTTTGAATTTACCGGTATATGTCATTTTTGAAGCTGTAATCTTTTGACATTTGACAACGTATTGTATTGTTTAAAATTCAGTATACAAAATGCCGAAAAACTTGCAGAGACGATTCGTAAAACATTTTTCAATTCTCGTGAAGCACTTTGTCGGACCGCAATACAGAAATTGGTGGAAAAAATGGGGCTGTAGGGACAAGTTAGTGAGGTGAAGAATTAAACAAGAGCACATCGCTCAAAGAACAATTGAGAATATTGCTGCTGTAGCCCGGAGTGTTGAAGAAACCTCAGGTTTGTCCACTCCCCGAACCCAAGCTGGCCGATCATCATCAAAGACGTGTCCTTGCACATTGGGTCTTTGAAATACATGAAAATGATCCGAAATTTTATAAAAAAATCATCTTGACTGAAGAACCTCGATGCTTTAATTAAATGTCTCTATATCTTCGACGTGTAACTGGTTGCTGCTGTTTATAATGCGACGGAGTCTTGGACCTTACTTTTTCAAAACAATGGGGCTGAAACAAAAGGTACGGTGAATGGATTGCGCTATAGAGAGGTGATTAATGATATTTTATGGCCGGAGGATGGCATACTGAGTATTCGGCCTAGAAAAACATATAATGCGGAATTTAACTCTGTGGTTATCCTCAGGAACAGAATTTCATTAAGATTTTACATTACAAAATCAAGCTCCATGTGTGTATGTAAACATAAAACAAAGCACACTTTATAATTTTTTTCTTATGAAAGCCTAAAAGCACACCACATGTCTCAAGTTTTTCCAAAATTCAAGCTTTTCAAAAGCTTTTGACTTATTCACCACACCACGATCCCAACGACGGATCTTTACCAAGAATGGCCAAAATAGAAAACAAGAATAAATTATAAACAATAAATATTTGATTTACAGTTGCTTCGAATTATGCGTGAATAAAGGTGAAAGTCATATTTATTTAGTATTATTATTTACGTATGATATGTATGTATGTATGTAAATAAAACAAGCTGAAACAATAATTTTCAGACGGCAAGATCATTTTTCAGAGTCCAACTCAGTCAGTTGATTGTAAGTACTTCCGAGATAATGCGGCGACTTCTCGCATTGAGCGATTTTCTTTAAGTGCAGCTTTAAACCTGAAAAATCTACATCTGAACAGATATTCACTATACGTCAGAACTTGGAAAAGACCTGTGAAAAGGAGATCTACATGTACTACCTAGACGTCGATTTCAAAGAAGAATTCGACAGCACGAAAAGGAACTTCTACACCTTTCCAACCCGTTTCATACCAAACGAGGTTTTAGATGAGTTGACTTCTTATCGTGTGATTGCTTTAATCTAATCTTTAATGCTGGAGAATATAATACGAGAGGCATAGCCTAAAAGAGAAGATACAATCTTCTATAAGAGAGGAAAAGCTTTGGCGGTTAATTGAAGCCAGTGGGGTCAACCACCGCGCCGTGGGCTCAGTTTTCGGTTTTATAAGGAAGCGTAGCGAGCAAGGAGAGGACGAAATTTCTCTTATGTTTTAGTCTTTCCTGAAACTGCACCTCAAATGGTCCATCCGCTTAGTCCAATTTTGGCATACTCTCCCCAACATTTCGGCCGGTATCTCACGAATAAATGCTTCACTGTTGTCCTCCAATGCGTCATTTGAAGCGGACTTATTTCTATACGCATTAAATTTAACATAGCCCCACAAAAAATAATCTAAAGGCGTTAAAGCGTACGATCTAGGTGGCCAAATGACCGGTCCCGAACGTGAAATAAAAAGTTCACCGAACTTGCCTCTCAATAAGTCCATTGTTACGCGGGCTGTCACTTGATATCATCTCACGATAGCGCTTACCATTTACAGTTACGTTACGATTCGCATCATCCAAGAAGTACGGTCCAATCGCATCAAACTGTGACTTTTTCTGAATGCCTCGGTAGTTCCTGTAATGGTTCTGTCTGATCTTCACTTCGAAATCGACAATCCTGCTTATTTACGCACCCATTAAGTCAAACATGAGCTTCGATACGCGTGCGGAAGAAACGTGCGATGAACTTTCTTAACAGAGTACGCATTTAGATCATAAAATTCCTTTGTAGAACGATTCATGGTTAGATTATAGACCAAACTGAAGATGTTTGACAGTGATAGAAAACACGGTATCGCACAATCACTTTTGCTTCTTTGAACTAAGTAAGTTCGTTTTTTCACGAACAAATACCAAAATCTACGAGACATTCCTCAGTTGAGACTAAGGCGCCTCCGAACAACATTTCCTGCCAAAATCGAATTTAATTTTCTATAACTTTCGAAACGATAACAGGATTTGAACCCGAGCCTTCCGCATGGCAATATGTAATGCGTATAGACTTCTCGAATTTCCTTTTAGATGACGAAACCTCTAAGTACTGAGCCTTTGGTTAGTTTTAAAATTAGCTGTATCTCCTTACGATTCTCTCAATGTTTCACTGTTGACGCCTAATTCAACTCTCCTGCATTCTTCTAATTTCTTTATTTAACTTTTTCCTCTAATTTTTTTTTTTTATTATTTACTTAATTAAATTTAATTTTTTTCTCTGTAACGTTTTGACTCGGCGTATTTTTACCGAAAATTCTCAGTTTATAAATATAATAGTACAAGGTGACGATGGTTTCAGGGCTAACGTTGTAAAATGAGATGGCTTCTGGTGATAATTGCCTCGTTGTGTTCTGAAAAAATAATTATAATTAATTTTTAAATATTATAATTAAATTAATAAAAATTTCTAATTAAATTTTTAGAAAGGACACTCACATTAATCTCATAATACGAACGATTTAAGAACCATTCATTATTTTCTGGTTTCAATTCTGTTAAATACTCCTGAGGTGTGAATGGTATAAAACGTTGGCGTCCCATAGCATCACGTGTATCTCCGAACTCCACATCCACACCACGTAAACACCGGCCCAACTCTTCGTCATCGTACGGACTATCGGACAAATAACAAATACTTGAATTTTTAAAAGCAACCGTGACGAGACGGCGCAACGCCTCACGACTGAGTACTGTACCGCCATGCGTATATATCTGGAGAAGAGAAAATTCACCGTAAATGTATAATACACTCGTAATTAGGAAGAAAGACACAGTTGGGCACTAACCTCGTTTTCTTTATTTTTCATTTTGCAGCCAAAACTGATGGGCTCTTCGGGGGAATGAGGTTCAAGCAACTTGCGTAGGTTTTCCAAAATCACAAAACTTAAAAGAAATAGAGTTGGTAGGTAAAAGAAAGATTGGTGATTTTTATAAAGGCTTATAATATGAGAAGAGATGTAAATATTCTTTTAGATGAGACCAGGAATCTATATAAGAGGAATTGAAAAATGATGTTCCAAATGCAATAAGCGCTGTTAGCAAACTGAAATGGAAGTCAGAGACATACTCGTACTTCGGCTGTCTTCCGATTCACCAGATGTAATTGCCGTTTATAAGCGCAGGAGCGGTATTCAACTGAGCTTCTCCTCAAATTCGTGGCATGCGTCTTGATGTTTTTCCAACAAATGTAAAATACCTACAGTTTATTCTGAGTCGCTTCCGAACGGCCAATGGATTTTTATGAGGAGGTTTTTATTTCATGTCGAAAATTTTCAGTCCTTTGATGAGGTTAACGATGTTTACATTGCTATTGAGAGAGGTCTCACCCTCAGATAGTATACATTTGGCGCATTTCTCGACATCGAGGAGTCACTTAACAATGTTTTACCAAGGATAGTTACATCAGCACTCCGAGAAATGGGTATTGGGGCACAGAGCAATTTTTCTTGAATTAGGAGCCGCACCAGATACCATGTATGCCTATAAAAGCAACTCGCGGGGAAATTCATTCTCCCCTTTCGTGGTGTCTCACAGTCAACACGCTGATTGTTAAGCTAAAAAACATGGTTTGTGATACAGTAGCTTACATTGACACTATCGCCCTCACAGTCATTGGAAAACATAACCCACAGTGCATAGACGATCCGCTGTATAATGCCCTTTGTATAGTAAGTAGCTGGTGCAGTGATTGCGGTAAATCCTTCAAAGGCCGCCTTTACTGGAAGGTACAAACTATCTTCCCTTAAAGCATGCTTACTCAAAGGTATGAAGATCGCGCTTTCTACTGAGATTAAATACGTAGTCATTAATCTGGAACCGGAACACGGTAGAAAGGTTAAAGAAAGCTGCGATCGCCCTATACCCCTGAAAGGCGGAGACCGCTAGGAGATGGAGACTAAGACCAGATACCAATAATTTTCTACGGCGTAATTGTCTGGTGGCTGTAGAGAAGGCTATTTATAGGAAAGCTCTTGAAATTCTGCTTAATCTTATTCCGGCTGACCTATACGCAAACGTCATGAGACTAAATACAGCTCAACCATGAAGGAGGCGCATAGTATTTACAAGCCGAAATATTAAACTCTACATCACTCTCGGAAGAAGTGGATTACACCAACTACGTCTTATGTTTCAGCAACACTTTCTCAACAAAGATCTCAGGGAGGAACAAACGGGAAAAAGTAACAGCCCTAGATCATAGATTCGTCTTTACCGGCGGCCCTAAACTATGTGGCAAAGTAGGTTGTGGAGTTTACTCCGATCATTTGACTAAAGAATTAAGTAAGCGACTTCCCGACCATTGCAGCGTCTTCCAAGCGGACCCAAGGCCTCTTCGTGGTTGCTCGTTTTTTTTACGTTAGCCTAACATATTACTTAACCGGACACTGTTTTATGGAGATTCATGATAGAAGGATGGTATCGGCCTGTCACTGCCTAGTTCTCAGTGCGGTCCTTTATTATTTATCTCTTTATCTTATTCGCTGATGCGGTCTCATAAGAACTAGCACCAACTTTTTATTGCCCAACACGTGAGCCAGAGGGACATTACTATCAGTGACAGTAAGAGTCAGAGGACAAATTAAATTGAATTGAAACTCCATTTGGCACTACCTAACACCAAAAGGTATGTGTAAGACGAAGGATCAATAAGTATAACTTAACCTAACCAATTTTCATTATATGTCCAATGACAGATATTTAAACTTAAATTACGAAAATTAACACAATAGGAGCCGGTGTACCATAAAAGGAAGAATGCTAGGGCCATGTGGAAAATCGTAGCCCACAATGTTCTGATTGGACCTTGCATGTGTGCCTTCAGACCGGGCAAACCTAACGCTGATCAGATGTTTACCATGCACCTTGAGAAACACACATCACGACTTTGTTCGGTTGTATGCAAAGGAGCACCTTCTACGCCGGTATGGCTGAGCTTGATATCTCCGCAAGCAACTGACGCAACGTAGTACCAAAAGTTCCAAGAAGGACCTCTCCGAGTATCAAACATGGCTTCGGGTAAGGCATTCCTCTGGCTTCTTAACTAAATATTTTGCTTCAACAGCCGCGCCGTATGTTAGGCTTTTCTCCAGGGCAAGACGAACTATCTGCGACCATCGAACTGTTAATGGTCATAACTTTGAAGTCGTATCGTCTATCTTTGAACCAGCAATACTCCTAGAATCCGACGCTACTTTGAATCGACTAGGCAATTGAAATGTAAAGTCTTCTCTCCACAAACAAATACCAAACACAACATGTCACTCATCATAACGGCATTTACTGTCATTACCTGATGAGTCGGTTTGGGGAGTCTTTGAGGTAAAGGCTTTATGAAAGATTTGTGTTCTTCTGCGCGTTAGCAACAGCGAATACCGCAGACGATGGAATGATGAGCTGTATGGGGATGTACGATGACATTGATAAACAGCGGATACGATATTTAGGTATGTCGTCCGGATGGATGACACACTCTAACTTCAATGCTCTATTCGTTGATGAAGGTATAAGAAGAGGAAGATCTCCACTCCGTTTGGAAACATCAATGAAGAACCTGGCCGAGCGATTAAAAGCGCGTTGTAGCTATTTGGGCCAAAGAAGAAGAAGAAGTAGTATTGAAAATGATTTACTAAATACGCATCAGGGGTCTGCATCGCGACCTTGACACTTGCTTTTAATATCGATGAATCTTTGTTCAGGATTTCGCTTTATGTAGACGATTAAAAGACCTCACGTTAGTTAGTATTCTACTCATACTGGTCTCTAGTCTCATTGCACTCGTAAACGATGCGATAATAAAATCGTCTTAAACTTATTTCACTCAAGACTCAATGTTTTTCTTACTTATCACTATTCACTTTCAGTAGCCAGTCGAAGTCATTGCCATAATACCGAGACACATAGTCAAAGCTAATTAACATCGAACCCCAGCGATAACGATTTTTAACCACCAATGGCTCCAGTACCGAATGAGGATGATTGCTCACAAACAAATAACGATCACAATGCTGCAACCACGTGGCCTGGCTGTGAATATCGCTGTACTCGTGCAGCTCTTTGTAGGTGAAAATTAGGCAAAAAACACGTGGACGCGAGATATTTGATCGAGCGATCGGTAATGAGTCATTTGCACTATCTCCAGCTAGATTCAGTAGGCACGTGTAATCGGTTTGGAGCAAATTGAAACACAATAATGAGATCACAACAAATTTGACTAGAATTTTCAAACTCTCCAAGAGGTCAAAGAGGCATGCACGCAACTTTGATACGCTAGCCACATTCGCGCACTCTTCGTCCATCTCTTTAACACCACGTCAATGCTGCACTTAACAAAATGCGGCTATTTAATGTGCTTCATGACTGATGACTACGCCGGCATGTTGAGCATCAGATGTTTATCTACAATATAGCAAATAGGGTGTTTTTTTAAGTCTTTTCGAATGAGTCTTAAAAGCTTTATGATGAAAGCAGAAGAAGTGGTGATGGAAAAGCCTTCCTAATTTATTGATTCTCACTTCACTAATTTTTAATTATGCTTACCTTGACTTAGTTTTTTACATAAAGCATGAAATGAAATTCCTGTAATATCTGCCTCCCCTGCATCCTAATGCAAATCCTTTTTTCAAAAAATTTTTTGGAAAAACTTTTTCTTAAGATTCGTTAAATTAGAGTATATCAAGCAATAAATGTTATTTATCCTATGAGAAAACTCCGGGAGATGTTCGAAAACACCCTGTATAAGTCTGCGAATTCATAAGTTTACATTGCAAATGTTATCTATCTACATTATCGCATCAATGAATTCTTTTTTATCTAAAATGTGTTTTAGTAATTCAAGTACATTCGAATATTTCAACTAACAGAGTTCGCTAAAACGTGCCACTGAGGTGAGGCAATTTATTGTAGTTATTGTGTTCACACATAATTAGTTAAATTGAAATATTTAATTAATGTTTCGGAGCTGATACATATTTATACCTTCCATGAGCATGAAATAGTATCGAGAGTAGAAATGAATGCGGCCCGTTTTTTGTGTTCACAAAAGTAGTTTTTATTAATAAAAAATAATAAAAATACTTCATTCAAAGTATTGTCCATCGGAAGCAACTTGGGCAATTTTCTAATAGCATATCGAAAAACGTGTTGTCAGTCCTTTAAGGGAGCCCTTCTTTGAGTTCTTCAAAAGATCCGATAAAGCCAGTAGTCGGAGAATCAATATCTGTAGCATACGGTGGATAGGGTAACGCTTATTTGTTCCCTGAAAATTAACAGTTCAGCCTACTACATACTAAACGACTTATTTTACAACCCTATCATTAGTATTTTCACTTTACACCCGTGTTAGACCTAACGAATTCGCTATGAAAATAACCTGGCAGCAGCATGCACTTCGTTCATATATATCAAACAATTGCTCTCACTCACATTTGGTAGATACTGTTTGAATGTTCTTGATAACAAACACCCCATACACACGCTCTACTATTACTTAGCAATTTTCGCCACACTGCCCTCCACCTAAGTCTGATCCCCCCTATCAGACACATTTCCAGGTAGGCCACAGCTCCTATTAGATTTTTTATTGGTGACTTAAATATATTAAGGGGCACACCTAGCGTGAAATTTCAGAAAGATCGATCTTTTCATATTTCAGTAGATTAAACCTTTAAAATAAACATATTAAAATTACAAATCTCTATCTCAAATAATTTTTGAGTAATAGCAATTTAAAGAGCAGCCGCTCGGCAGCTAGAGAGTCTCATTATCTACGAGTGAAAACGATCATTTTATCTTTAAACGCGTTTTTCTCGAAACAGCATTTTCCGAATTCGCTGCAGTGCTTACTCAGAAACAAATGAATCGATCACTATCGATTTTTTTTACATCTTCCATAAAAAGTTCTCCGTATAATGACTTATCGATTTTTGATCTGATCAAAAAATCGAATTTTGGCAGGCCAAAAACGACCAAAATTTTGGGTAAAGTTCGCCTTTTTTTTAAAAACATCGGCATGTTGTCATTTTTAATTTTTTTTTTATCGTATGTCATTGTACAGACAATATTATCTTGTAGAGAATTTTTTTTTAGATTTCATCCACGGAGAAGGCCGGGATCACTGCACCATTGAAGGACATTTTTTTCGCTCCGTTGGAGATCGACTATAACTTAAAAAATATTTAATATTTTTCCTCAAAAATTTCATCGCATATTCTTGAAACATGTATAAATATATTCTTAAAATTTTGAAATAATTGATAAAGTACTTTTTTGTAATAAAAACTCCCAAATAACCTTTTTAGGCCATCATACTAGGTGTGTCCCTTAATGTTCATACTTTTGTGTATTAGCCAAGACGTAGAATTTTATGCTTTTCCGAAAACACGAATTTGTTTATTCCACGATCTCCATAATTATTATTATTATTTGCTTCTGACTTTGGTTTGCTGTCTTCTAGGATCACTCACACTCAGCCATTATAATCAAAGCCAATTGACACTTCCGTGTTTTGTACTTTACAATTTTGTTATTTATGCCGATCTTAAGGCTTTGGTCAGGTAAGAGATCTGCTTCTATGATGGCCTCATCTAGAATCTATCACAACGTTACATGTTGTTTCTCACCCCTAACTTGGATGCCCTCACCAGTTGCCATTGTAAATCGTATACAATCAGTGGCCTTAGTTTTTTAGCGATCAGACCAGAACGAATGATGGAGTCGTTGCGCCCGAATAAACATTTAGTATTCCCTAAAGTATTTTAATTTTCTTGCGATCTCCTTTCGTTCCTCTCTTCTATACACCATTTATTTTATAAACTGATCTACGTAAGAGTCCGGCCGTTTCCAGTAAATGCTGACTTTGGATTCTCATACGTTTCTCGCTATGTGATACATTCTTAATTTCATTACATAATCTCTGAATTTGTACGCTCTCGAAATATTCTCCAACCAATATTCCAAGCAAACTCTTACCGTGCCGCATTGGGCTTCTGGTTATGATTCTCCAGCTCCATTCCATGGCGCGCTTTAATGAGTTCTATTAGCCCTCTCAAATTCGGGAACTATTTGCAGAGATTGCTGTAGGTCTAATTAATGTTCAGGATAGGGCAGCACTTTTATTCTTAATGCCTCATGGAGTTTTTTAATGGCGGATATACAATAGTTTGAGGAATGCACCTACCTCTCATATAAAACCCATCTTATATATTTTTCACTGATCTCCGTAGTTAGTTTTTGGTACAAAAATCAGCCGAATATCTGACCTTCGGTTCCAGCCGATATTTTAAACAACTTCGCAGCTAACTTCAGGCTACCAAGATGAGATTCTTGAACCTATGTACAAGTGGAGTATGACCACACATATACACGTAGAGATATCAACTCCCACCCGATACTCAACAACCACCAGCATGAGATATTTTATGACTGTTGTGTAAGAATTATGAGTGAGTTATTTGAGCTTTTACACTTCCGGTCGAAGCCATGGAAAAACTTATGTATAATATTATTCACTAATGACTCACAGGTGCAACTGTTTGCTTAGCTTCTAAGGACATTGCCACTTTACATATACAGGATGCATCCAAGTGCTTAAGAAATAATCAGATTTTAGTAGAAAGAAGTGAGCATAAACGTAAAAAAATATGTAATATACATACATATAAATATATATGAGTCTACATATGACAGCTGTTGGTTTTTGGGGTGATACCTCGTGCTTCCTGCTTTCCGCTTAATACGCTGAAATATCTACATACATACATACTGTATTCGTGAAGAATATTATTTAGTATCAAATTACAGTGTTTTGTGATACATAATTGCTTACAGCAATGTATCGTCTGATACTTTTATACTGTTAAATATCTATGTATATATACTTTTCAATGTATTTATATGAGACTACGGCCAAGGAATTTCAGCTGTGGTAAGCTTCCGGTTTAAAATTAATCAGCATATTCTCCAACCCAAGTACATTAGCCTTAAACAGCAGAATATGACCTTAAGTCATATATATAGCTCCTATATGCGCAACCCTGGTGCCAGATGCAAGAGAGACATACAAAGAGAAAGAGAGTGAGATCTTAGGTATCTTCAACGCAGCCACTGTGACCATATCGGTTAGTTGATACCGGACATTATAATCTAGAAAAACCATCAGAATATGCGGCCAAACACGAATCAATAATTTTTCATCATGACAACGCTCGGCCACATGATGCAAGGCCAGTTAAAATTATTTGGAAAATTGTGGGTGTTAAGTTCTACCTCACCCGCCTTATAGCCCAGATATAGCACCTTCCGATTACCATGTTCCACTTGTTCAGATCAATGCAGAATGCCCTCACCGGAGTGCGCTTCACTTCAGAACAGGTATCAGAAATTTGCTCGATTCTTTCTTGACCTCGAAGCCGGAGATGTTCCACAAACCGCCAGAAAGATGGGCAAAAATCGTAGCTTCCGATGGGCAATACTTTGAACATTAAATGGATAGCAATTTTTTCACAATAAAGTATTAATTTTCGAAAAAGAAACCGGACGAATTAATGCATTAGATAAAAGATGGCGGTGCTGCGAAGAGGAAAAACGGGACGACGTAAATCAGCTTTTCTGAACATAAGTAAAGGAAATTTTCTTAAATTTCCTTCAGCAATATGGCGCACAGAGGCTTCTTCAAACCTTTCCTCTATCTAATGACTATAAAGTACCCGTCTATTTTCCATTATTTTATGGCCAAAGAACATAAGCAAATTCGTAAATCAGCTACTTTATATTTGTTAGACAGCGACATCTGTTCTGTTTACAAATATAAAATAGCTTTGTTAACCAGATTTAATTTAAGAGCCACCTTCGAAAAAAAGCAGTTGAAAAAACGAAAACGTGTTTAAAGAGAAGTTAAAGAGAAGTTAAATAGTCCCTTAGTCTCTTATAATAAATAAAATCATAACCTAAAAACACTCTGAGTGGATTTGATATTCATTCTAAATTTTGAGAGAGAGTTCTGCAGAAAAGTAAAAAAATAAAGGGTGATCCAAGTAGAGATATTTTTTTCAATAACCATTTTTTTACAGAACACGTTTTATTTGGCATATTATCGTGGGAAACTTATGCCTGAACAACGTTTACTAATCGTTCAACTTTATTACGAAAATTGATGTCCTGTGAAGGAAGTATTATACGCGTTTCGCTCAACTTATGATCAAAATAATCACCCATCTTGAGACCCAGCATACAGTATTGAATAATTTTCGACCGAAAATACAGCGGCTGAGAGTGTACACAAAGACCGTGGAGAGTTGATTCGGCGTTGTTCGCAGCAACTCGGACTGACGTATGGAACGAAAGATCTTAAATTGAAAGCGTACAAAATACGGCTTGTGCAATAACTGAAGCCACTCGACCTTTACAAGCGACAT